GAATTCAGGAAAATAATTTCCCTTTTGAAAGAATCGGAAAACGTTTTCCGAAGCATAACTAGCTATCGGCACTTGAACGCAAAACTCTATGCTTAAGCACGAAAACCCCAACATTGGTTCCTAAGTTCCGACATTCACGACCATGTCTCGGTGGCTGAGTTCAAGACCTCGATGTCTAGGACCCGGACCCCCGGCATCCACACCTGGGTCCATTGAGGCTGAGCCCGAACCCCTAGTGCCCGTAACCGATGCTCCGACACTCGAACTCCTGTCCATAGAGGCCATGCTCAGGTCCCCGATACTCGAGCTCTAGTTCCGACCCTCCAGCCTGAATCCATAAAGGCCATACGCAGGTCCTCGGCGCTTGAGCTTGGGTCCTTAATTAATAAAACAATTGTTTTTATAAACATATTTAATTAAAAAAATCAAATATTTTTATTATTTATTATTTTTAAAATTCATTTTAAAAAATCATTTTTATTATTTTAAAAAATCGAATTATTTATTCTTTTCTTTTCTTTTTTTTTTTATCTTTTCTTCTGTTTTCTTTTTCTTCTTCCTCAGGCCGGTCGCCGGCCACCGCGACGGCCGGCAAGCTTGCGGCGGCCTCTGGCGCCAAGCCTCGAGCTTCACCAACCGAGCTCGGCCAAGGTCGGCGAGCTCGCGGCTCGCCTGTGGCCATCGTTGGGCAAGCCTTGAGCTTGCCAGTGGCCGTCGCCGGCCGGTCACGGCGGAGGCAAAAGAAAAAGAAAGAAAAGAAAAAAAGAAAAGAGAAAAATAATATAAAATTTCCAATTTTTTCAAAAAAAGAAAAGAAAAATAAAAATGAGAAATACAAATGTTAAAAAATATTAAAAAATCGATTTTTTAATTGCTTGAAATAAAATCATAAGATTGAAATCATTTTCCAATGATATTCAAACATCAGAAAACGATTTTCATCGTGTATCACCAAACAAAGGAAAACTAAGTGTTTTCCTGAAAAATAATTTTTCGGAAAATATTTTCCTTTATCATTAAGTTTTCCGCGAAACAAATGCACCCTAAATTAGCAAATCGATGACTAAATTGACAATTCGTCAAACATGTTTAAAATTAAATTGACACAATCGAAAGGTTCATGACTACAAAGTTATCAAAAGATTTATGATTAAAATTTACACATTTGAAAGTTTTAGAACTGAATTAGTTGCCGCACAATACATTAAGAATTTTTTGGACAATTTTTTCTCGGAACACAGGGAAGCCAAATCATCTACCCATCTACAGTGGCAATAAGGCATTGTCCATTGCACGACAGGGGAGCTTAAAGCTGAGAGATTCAGTAGCTTCTTCCTACAAAGAGAATGGGCACAGAATAGAACTAGGGGTGAGCGGTTCTCGGTCCGGTTCGATCCAATTCAAGAACTGGGGACTGGACCAGCTAGTCTTAGGACCGTGAATCGGACCGGACCGATGGTCCGGTCCGATTCCAATAAGATCAATATTAAATATTATTTGTGAACCAGGAAGTGATTGCTCCGTTCTTTTCTTTGCAGTTCTGATTTAATCCCATAAAGACATGGAAAAAATTGGAAATATATATAATATATGAAAAATTTGAACGATCGTTCCAATGGGACCAATATTAAATATTTTTCATAAATATATTAAATATTATATATATGAAAAAATTAGAAATATATATATTTATCGGTCCGGTCCAGTTCCCACCTTAAAACCGGTAACCGGACCGCCCGAAACCGGTTCCACTTTGAGGAACTAGGAACTGGATTGATATTTTCGAGAACCGAACTAAACCGGTTGGTCCGGTTCGGTCTCAATTTTGGCGGTCCATCTTGCTCACCCCTACACAAAACAAGCACATAAAGAGATCCTTGTGCATCGAGCCCCCCCGATACACGACGACAGTCGCCCATGCTTTGAAAGCCTAAACCTTTCGTATTGAACTGTGATTTAATTCATGGCGCTCGCTACCATAACCAAAAAAGAAAGGAGAAAAGGGACACCGACTGACTGAGTGACTTGGAGAGTATGCAAAAGACATTTGTCGTGTCGTTCCAAGTGGGGAACTGACTTTTTTTTTTATGTCGTGCATCAGGTCTTGGGAATGCGTGTCTGAGAGCTTTCTCGAGAATTGAGGTTATAAAAAAAGGAGGAGGAAGAACAGTGGCCAAATTGGCTGAAGCATAAGCCAACTGGTTGGTTTTCTGCTGCGGCGGCGGTGCCAGGAGGAGGGCATCAGAACAGAATTTAAGACACAACCCCCCTCCCCGCCGGCTGGAGGTCCGAGGTGTTTATGTTGTACGCGGCAAATTTAGGATTTTTATTGACACGAAAAAAAAGTTAGAAAGTATTCATATCGCAGTTAATATAGTTTTGAGTTTTTTTTTGTAATATCACAGTTGGTATTTGAAGAACGGTATAGCATATAAGAACGACGATTTAAGCCGAAGCTATTGCTCCATACATATAGCTACGATCTAGAGCAGTTTTTGAGCGATCGTGGATATATGACTTTCGAATTCTGAGCCGAAAATTCGATGACTCCCCATCCACTCGCCCCTAACTCTAAGAGGATACCCACACACACATACGCACACTCCCTCTCTACTTTGATTAATGTTTCTGTGGTAAGCTCTTGGGCGAAAAATAGCCGTTTTCATGGCTCCAATATGAATGTCGTGTCGGATTTTTCCTAATGACAAACTCGCCCCGAAACTTAGAATAGATGGATTATTCTTGGTGCACAATGAAACCTTATCCCGGCTTGAGACCATCAATGCTTGCCCACTTTTAGGGGCCTTAGTGGTGCGCGCGTTTCGGCCTATTTTAGACGAGCCAATCATATTTGATGGGGCTTCTAAATTAGGCTAATCTCACATGCAACTCATTAATTATGTCAATGTCACGACCTACCCCAATCCTACTTATCGCCTTCCAAATTTGTAGTGGGGCGCCCACGAGGGATATGATAATCGAAAATCTTTGAAATCAATATGTATATCACATGCCGTAAAAGATGACAACAACCTCGACGAATCATCTACATAAAACAAAATTAAAAGACGATCCAACCAATTTGCTCTTGAACTTGAATATCGGTAATTTTCAAGACATTAGGAGGGAAAAAAAGAAACGCGACATCGATCGACAATAATATCGATTTCGAAAGATATTCAAAATTCACACAATGGTCTAGGTGGAATTAAAATCGAATATTACCCGGACAACAAATAAAAAAACATAAACCCAAATCAATACCGGCTCCAATAATAACAACCCTTAACCAGCTCCATAATAATTCTCTATTTAACTCTCTTTCAAAATTCGGCTTCAACTACCCATCGTAACGTCAATTTAATGGAGGAGGTACCGATGGAATAACAAAATAGAAAATCTAGCTCCCCCACCCCCCCCTCTCCCAAAAAAATAAAAAATAAAAAATAGGATTAATAGTTTAATACCGTGAAAATCCCAAACTGGAATATTTATGATAAATTTCACGAAAAACTCCAAACCGGTACACTCGTGACGAATTTTCCCTCCGTTAAATTGGATTAATACCACGAAAAATCACAAACGGGTAAATTTGTGACAAATAAAAGAGGGGTAAAGCCTTAAACTGGTAGACCTGTTAACTGCCATATGTCATCAAACTTAGCAATTTGATGATATAATTTAACGGAAACTAATGGAGGGTAAATTTGTTACAGGTATATCGGTTTAAGGTTTTTTTGTGGTATTAACTCTAAATAATAATAATAATAAGGCAAAATGACACAAACAGTCCCTGAATTTTGACTCAATGTGCAATTTGGTCCATGAAATTTTAATTTGTTCAATGTAATCCCAGAACTTTAATCCAATGTGTATTGTGGTCCTCAAACTTTTATTTTGTTCAATGTTATTCCTGAACTTTCGGTACATGTTTAATTCAGTCCCTGAACTATATGAAAATGTTCAATGCAATCCTTTCCATTAATTCAAGTTCAGGGACTATATTGAACATTTTCATATAGTTCAGGGACTGAATTGAACACGTACTAAAAGTTCAGAGAAGACATTGAACAAAAAAAAAGTTTGGGGATCACATTGAATATTAGCCTAAAGTTCAGAGATTATATTGAATAAATTAAAAGTTTAGGGATCAAATTGCATATTGAGTCAAAATTTAGAAACCGTTTATGTCATTGCCTCTAATAATAATGATAATAATAATCGTAAGAAAAAGGAAGGGGATTCCAATAGAATCGTAACGGCACCTGAATCTGCGGTCGCATCAAAGATTTCCGGAAGCGCGCCCGAGTCGGGCTCGGTCCCGCGATATTTATTTTCCCTTGGGACTCAGTGAGTGTGAGTCCATCTCCCACCGCGCCCCCGCAACTCGGTTAAAAGAAAAAACAAACGGAAAGAGAGAAAAAATAAAATCAAAATCACCGCCCGCTCACGGCGCGCCACGTCATCCGGGTGGACCCCACCTCGGCTGCTTACGGGAGCGAGCAGGGGGAAAGCCAAAGAGCTGTTAATCCGGGGCTGATTAGGCAAGATAATTAAGGGGTTAAATACCAGCCAGATAAGACAAAATAATACGTTAATTTAAGTAGCTTTCGAATAAATTAAATATGGAATATTATCTAATTAAATGGCGGGCATCGCATATATTCCTCCACTTTCCCACGCAGGATTACTCCCTACGCGACTCCTCCATTGTTTCTTCCTTCCTTCCTTCTTCTTCTTCTTCTTCCTTCGTCGTCGTCGTGCGTCGTCGTCGTCGTCGTCTTCGCCACCCAGGACGGCGGAGCGGAGAAAGGTTACGTGCGCTCGCCGACGATTCCTCCCCGCACGCGACGCGTGCGGAGGGGGGGGGGGATTCCTCCGCCATTCTCTTTCTTTCTGGTTCTGGTTCCGGTTCCGGGCCTTTAGCGCTTCTTCTGCTCCGTTTTCCTTGGTGGGTTTTTCTTTTCCTTTCCTTTCTCTTGGAGGGGAGGGGAGGTGAGGGGGGCGGGCGGGAGGGAGTTAAAAAAGAAGAAGTCTCGTCGCGGGATGGCAGCGCAGTTCCACAACGCGATGGGGGCGTACGAGCGGGTGCGGACGGAGGACGCCAATGGCGACGTCGAGAAGGCTTCTCCCGATCCCAAGGCGGGGCTCCCGCGCGCCGGCGTCGGCTTCGTCGTCGGCGTCGGCGACGTCGAGGCGGCGGGGCGGGTTCCCGGCTCGAGATCGGCCTCTCGCCGCGGCGGCAGGGAATCCGAGCGGCGGCAGCAGCGGCTTGTTTCTCTGGACGTGTTTCGCGGCCTCTCCGTCGTGGTAAATGTCGCCCTCAGCCTTTTTTTTCATCTTGTTAGGAAAGCGACGCGAGTCAACCGTTAAGATATTGGTAGAACTAGGAAACTTTTTGGGGTTGCCCCACAATGCTCATTCTCAGTGGGCATTTGCCGGAATCCCAGGATCGGCGCACCGGAAAGTTGCCGTCGGTTCAACAGATTTATTGCTGTTGGATTGATAAAGTTTGATATTGACGGGGATGTGAAACCTTTTTTAGGAGTAGCGACTATCTTTAATCCGGCATGGTAGAATCGGCACCGGAAGTGTTGAATTTGAGTGCCCGGAGGTCGTGGCCGGTCGGACGTATCTACTATTGTCCAGATAATAGTGGTAGACGCACTGTTATCCTCAGAAACATACGAAAGCTTTATCTTAATTATGGACAAGGTGTTGGTTAATTATCTTAATCATAGTCATTGATAATGCAATTGTTTTGCCTCCTTACTGTAGCTTGGGGAAATGAGCAATGGATTAGGTACTGTTTTCTTCTCATGCAATTCTCCTTAGTTTTGAGGCTTTGGCCGGCTATCAACCTCTCCATTTCTTGTGAACCTGAGAAACAGAGGAAAGAGAAATTATTGGAGAAGGTATTTTTAGTTTTATAACATTTTTATGTTAATAACCTTTGATGAAGCATCTAAGACCCACACCTGGCCCCATCGCATGGACCCTGCATGCCATGGATATTGTTGCTTCTTCTTTACTTAGAGCAAAAGTCAAGACAGAGGAATCTATTATTTATTCTTTGCGTATAAAGTTGCTTTCCATCCTACTCACATTAAGGGAAGAAAGGAGCTTTCTTCTTATTGCCACATTCTGAAGATATAATAATACGGAAAAAAGAACGAGTGTTCTTCCTAGTGCTACACTGTGAAGAAATAATTGTAACCCGGCATACGGTTTTCCTGCAATAGGGGAGGTTTTGGAATGATATGCTTTCAGGTGATGTCACTAGCTCCGGAGAGTCTAGACATGTCGAACTTCACTCCAAAACAGATAGGGCAAAAACTCCCACCCTAATGATGCATTAGTCAAAAGTTCATTTAACTTGGTAAAACTCATTCTGGGAGTGCTCGGGCATGAAATCTGTCCCCGTCAGTTTCCAAATGTATCGGAAGTGAATTACTCCTTTTTAAATATGTTGTAGGGAATTATTAGGTGCGCTAAATGAAGTCTATTTTAGCTCTGCGAGAAATGCAATAGGATGCATTGGCTCTTATCTGGCCATTAATTGCTATAGTTTTGTTGAAGGCAGGGACATTGTGGCTGAATTACGGTGGTAGTTCATATACCATGTTGTCAATATTTCTCTACGTAGAACTTTTACAATCTTGACTGATGTTATGATTCCCTGGATATGAAGTGGTAAGAAAGAAATGAGTTTCAATTCCAGTATTTATGCAACTTTCTCAAGTCAGATTGTTCATGTTTGCTCTGGAGTGGGATTTTTCCTGTTAGTTAAATGATCAATAATTAGCCCATGTACTTGGGAAGCTTTCAATCGTAAAAGGCATGAGAAACATATGATGTAATATTTCAGCCACATGCGATCTTGGAAAAGGTATATTAACGAACCATGAATCACTTAGTGACTGTATCCCTCAGCTTGCAGATTCTTTGATATATTTTTCTGGGTTCTGAAATTGACTTTTACTCTACCTGCTCTTAATTTGCTCTATTCAGCTAATGATTGTGGTGGATCATGCGGGTGGAATCTTCCCTGCCATCAACCATTCACCATGGGATGGTTTAACTCTGGCAGATTATGTAATGCCATTTTTCCTGTTTATTGTTGGTGTCTCACTGGGACTTGGGTACAAGGTACTTGTTGCTGATTTCTTTCTTTACATCTTCAAGCACTCAGTCTGATCTAATATGCTATGCTTTTTTAATCTTGAACCTCAAATCCTAAATCGTAGAGCTAGGTGCCTCCTATGTATGTTGCCTCTTTCTTCTTGACTTCTATTGAGGGAGTTACTTTAATGAACTCAATGATTTGACAGATTTCTTTTGCTTGTAGAAAATGCCGTGCAGAGCTTCTGCAACTCGGAAAGTCCTTCTTCGGGCGCTTAAGCTTTTGCTTTTAGGTCTTTTCCTCCAAGGTACTGTACGTAGTTCTTGGTTATATGTGACAGCCGTAACGTACTCTTTGCAGATTTTGTTGTTTACTTGCTGAATGAGGTTTACGTCACCTTTTCTTTCATCTACGACTGGATTTTTTTTTTTCTGGTCTGTATCATACTAGGATCTTATGCCTTCTTTCTGCCATTTCTTTCCCTTCAGGTGGTTATTTTCATGGCGTTGGTAGTCTTGATTATGGAGTGGACATGGAACAAATGAGATTTATGGGAATACTGCAAGTATGTGCTTTTATAAAGCTCTTCTTTTAGTTGTTTTTTCTTATTGAAGTTTCATATGCTGTCTAATTACTTGGTAAACACCTTTCTGCCCCTCCAGAGAATAGCTATAGCATTTATGGTTGCGGCACTATGTGAGATTTGGCTGAAGGGAGATGATGATGTTAAGTCAGCATTTTCTCTGCTGAAGAAATACCGAAGTCATTGGTATGGTAATTAGATTAAATAGAGTACCTATTCTCACTATTGAATTGTTTTGATTTCCAGAGGCTGGACAAGCCAGTCCCAATGTTTCCAAAACTGGAAATACTGTGAATATCATTGCTCTGCTAGGCCATGCTAGTTGAGTGATTTTCTTCCATATTTAGGGCAAGAAGCCGGCTAGATTTCTCAGCTTGCTCTACAGGGAATTTTAGCGATTGACAAAATAATTACTCAGATAATGACGGTAATAGTTAATGTGGTGGTAGTGTTAATTAAAGAAGGTTTAAAACCACTTCCACTTGAATGGGACTTGTGCGTCTTCATTGATGGGAAGAATTTCGCTCGAGTATTATCAAGTAACTAAAGCAACAAATTTCTGCCTCATTCCCGTGTCTGTGAAAAAACCTCTGGATATCCGACATTCTCTACAAGACATACATGTTTTTTTTTTTCCTAGGGTAATGAATGGCCTTTGACTCAATAACTCTTCAGGGTTGTCAATTTAAAAGTTTTTCGCCTTGGTTGACCACATTTGTGATGATATTCCCTGAGACTGCATTATTCTTGTACCATGTTGACTTCCTTAGCTGATGCCATGTCCATGTCTTCTTCCAGGGCCGTGGTACTTGTGCTTACCACTGTATATATTTCATTATTATATGGCCTGTATGTGCCCGACTGGGAGTATCGGATTCCAACTGAATCTCCCTCCCTTTCACAAGAAAGAATTTTGGTGAACTTTTCTATTCATTGCTCAATCTTTTCCTGGATTGATCACATTGATAGATTTATGATTAACTAGGTGCTAAAAATTGTCCATTTAAAGGTGAAATGTGGAGTGCGAGGAAATACTGGACCAGCTTGTAATGCTGTTGCAATGATTGATCGTGAGGTGTTGGGAATTAGACATTTATACAGAAAGCCAGCATATGCACGGACAAAGGTCTCTTCATCATATTTGCCTTCTATGTCTATGGTTCTCCTATCTCAGATTTGTTTACTTCTTGTTCTGATAATTCATTCTCTTTCACAGCAATGCAGTATTCATTCTCCAGAGTCTGGTCCTTTGCCTGCTAATGCTCCATCATGGTGCCAGGCCCCCTTTGATCCTGAAGGCCTTTTAAGGTGATTTTTGAGAACTACTCATCAGGGAATGGGGGAGGGACTAGGATGGAAGAGTGGAAGGTGGTAAGATAAAGAGAAGAGATGGGTTTTGAAGGGGGGGGGGGGGGGGGTGAAGTTGCAGATTTTGCTATATTAGGTGCTATATCAAAAGTGGTTCTTTCTGTAAAAAGGCCAAAGGCATGTTGTATATTCATTATCTTTCTTGTTTCTGTGTTTAGGTTAGTGATTTAATTACCCAACTTGCCATCAATGATATATGTGGTTGCCTTCTTTGTGGAGAAGGACAATTGTTGATTTTTTACTGATTTCATGTATTCCAACAATGTGTATGCTTTACGTATGCAGTTCAGTGATGGCCGTGGTTACATGCTTGGTTGGCTTGCACTTTGGACATGTGATTGTCCATTTTAAGGTGAGGGAATAGTCTGTTGCCGAGATTTTATCTTACCCAATGGAGATTACCTTTTTGACCTCTTTCTTCTTTTGGCATTTTGCTTCCAGGATCATGGGGATAGAACTTTCCACTGGATGGTCTCATCTTCTTTTCTTGTGGCTCTAGGCCTGGCATTAGATCTTTTTGGTGATTTACTTTCGATCTTGATTATTTATCACAATCAACTATCAGTTCTGAGGACAGTCTTATTAATTATTTATCATTTGCTTTGTCGTTACAGGCATGCATGTGAATAAGGCTCTCTACACATGTAGCTACATGGCTGTCACTGCTGGTGTAGCTGGCATTCTCTTCACCTTAATATACCTGATGGTAATGCATTGTCGATTTCCTCGGTCATGTATTAACTCGTTAACATTTTACACTATAGTGAGGATCTTGTCCTTCTCAAGTCTTATCTTATGTTCCACACATTCTGGTTTTTTCTAATGTGCTTTTTCTCAACAGGTTGATTTCGGTGGACTTAGGCATACTACCACAGTTTTGGAGTGGATAGGGAAGAACGCAATGACTATTTATGTCCTTGCTGCAACAAATGTCTTGCCTGTTTTCCTCCAGGGCTTCTACTGGAGGCGTCCTGAGAATAACATTGTATGTTTGCTTCTCCTTCTATTATTCTATTTCAACTACAAAACATTACTCATTTGTCTGACAATGTCTCAAAATTGATAACTCTTCTTATGGCAGCTGAGTTTAATCGGAATTGGAAGATGATAGGAAGCTTGATATCGATCTCCAACTCTGAAAGGACACTCGATCGCGGAATATTTATTGAAGCAACTAGCCACATTTATTATATTGCGGTTTGTTGCAATTCATACAGAAAATATATGCTCTGTTCAGTGAGGTTAGAGAACTGCAGTTTTCTCCACATTTATGGGCTTTCTGTACATAATTAGCAATTCGCTGTCACTTTATTCGGTATAGTATTTTATAATGGCGTTCTCTAACATTGAATCTCTTTTATAATTTTGTTGACGAAGGATATTGGAAATTTCAATATGATTGATTGCTTGGCGATTGGGATATACATGACTTTGAATTTTGAGGCCAATGGGGATTAGAGATTTTACTTTGAAAGCCATATTTGTTTGTCACTTGAATTCGCTGCAAACTTAACAAGCTTAATCATGAAGAAGATGGTGGTGCAGTGGAAGATTTCATTTGCCTAAAACTTGATCATCCTTCACACTACCTATCCAAATTGGACCAAACATGATGAAGACTGAAACAAGGGAATCTGTCTTTTGTAATTGATAGATTAAAAGCCGAATGTCCGTCATTTGAAGCATTTAAAGAGGGAAAATGAACGTGACTGAAAACAGGAGGAAAATCATTCATAACGACAGTCAACAATAGCGTCAGTCATCAGGAGAAAAATGTATAGAGGCAGGGGGAGCGCTAGCTAGGGCTATTGTTGTAGCTGAACACGGTATATACAGTCTGTATTATAGTGAGCCCGAAGACTGAGAGGAAGATGGAGGCAACGGGAGACGATAAAAGGATTCCTGAAGTGGGTCTGGATGAGATTAGCCCTCCACATGTTCCAGGGCTTCTTGCAGTACTTGTTGACCTTGCACACGGTGTTGAGGCTGCTGTCAGGTTTGAGAGTCACGTCCTTGGACAGCGAGTTGAACAGCTTGGCAACCACCTTGTTGCTCCCGAGGGAATTCTGGATGATGCCCCGGTCATGGAGCAGCGCGACATCCCATCCCTTGTTGATGATGTTGTCTGTGAAGAAGATGTAGGATGTGACCTCGTTCCCGGCCTCGCTGTGGAATCGCTCGAAGGCCATGACGTTGAGGTGCATGAACTGGGTGGTGTCGTCCACCTCGATCACAGGGAGCCTCAGGACCCCGCTGGTAAAGGAGATGTCCTTGCAGCTGGTGATCTTGCTCTTCTTGAACCGGATCCCTGACCTCGTCGAGCTCGGTGACCGACTGGATTATGTCATCGCCGCGCTCATGGCCCATGTCTTTGTCGCGACCTCCCCGAACTGGCCCAGCCGCCTAAGGGGTTTGGCTAATGGATTACTAAGTTAAACCTAGCTCGAGCTCTCCCAAGCCCATACCAATTCGCGACTTAGGTTTAAGTTGTTAACATGCAAATCAGTTTCATCTAGGAGTCGCCACTAATCGATTCTTGGTGGGTCGATTAGACACCCAAGTAAAGCACGGGAGAAATACTTTACTCCTACGAACCAGAGATTCAATGGGTACGGGGACTTGATTACACTAATTGACTAATTAGTGCCCCTTCGGTACCTAATCTTGCTCAATTCACCACCTGACATGTTCACACTAATTGGGAGTCTCAAAAATTCATTCCTAACCAAGCTAGGGGGAACGACGATCACTACATGAACCTAACATGCATAATCGACCACATGCGAGGTTGAATTAAACGCACCGTTCAAAGTGTGTGAACCAAGCAACATGCAATCAAAAATGACATTAATCATGCAAGAGGGGCAAGAAAAGCTAATTCCAAAGTCCAAATAAATTTTCTGGTTTTTCAAATTTTTTTCGAATTTTTTTTAAAAATAATAATAATAATAATAATAAAATAATAAAATAAAAAACAAAAATAAATAAAAATAAGTAAACGAAAAAAAAAAAAAAAATTTCGATTTTTTAAAATAAAATAAAATAAAAAAACACAAAACAGACCGGGTCGGGTCTCCACATCCGACCCGGAAATTCTCTTTTTAATTTTTTTTTTTTAAAAAATAATATATTTTTTTTTCGATTTTTTAAAATAAAAAAAAAAAAAAAAAGCACAAAACAGACCGGGTCGAGTCTCCACATCCGACCCGGAAATTCTCTTTTTAAATTTTTTTTTTAAAAAATAATATTAAAATAATACGAAATGGATCCGGGTCGAATCTCCACATCCGACCCGGATCGGGACTGACCCGGGCGCGCCGGCCCGGGTCCATGAACGGACCGGGTTCATTTATTGAACCCGGTCTGGTGAGTTGAAAGAAAGAAAAAGGGCTCAGCCCGAAATTTTTTCATTAAAAAAAAATAAAGGCCCAAGGCCCACTAAATATGAAAAGGCCAAAAAAAAGACAATTAAGCCCAAACCCTAATACAAACCAATTCGATTTCGACCCACGAACCCGAATCACCGAAACCCTACCCGATTCGCCCGCGCGTCCGACCCGGTTCGCGACCCGACTCGCGGCCGCCTTCGCACGCGTCACCCAGTCGCGCTAGCCCCGCGGCGCGAACGCCGGCGCCTTCGAGCCTCGGCCTTCATGGCCGAGGTCACGCTCAACCAACGCTCACCGCCGCGTCCGTTGCCACCGCCCGACGTGACTCGCCTTCGCCGGCCATTCGAGACGCCGGCTTCTCCGAGCCCCAGCCTTCGTGACTGGGGTTCCCGGTCCGGCGGCCGAGCCCGTGCTCGGCCGTCGGACGACACGCCCCGACCTCCGCGGTCGGGGCTTTTCGACCGTGCGACCGAGCCCTTGCTCGGCCGCCGCTCAGCTCGCGACTGCGTCGCCGCCCCAGCGAGGGGCCGCGGCGTCCTCCGCTCGGGTCACCGCCGTGGCGACCGGCGGCACACCGGGACCGTCCGGCACTCACGCACAAAACAACAAAAAAACACAGCAGAGCAGAGGCAAATCCAACAAGCTTAGTTCAGGCATAACATCAAACAGTTGGCGTGCGTTACAAAGACGAGGGATTTCCGGCACAATCGAGGCTCAAATGCATCCGAAATTCACACACAACAACACGCAGAGTAATAGGACCGAGCCCGAGGTGTCACTGGCCGGGACTCGCTCAAGCCGAACGGCCGCGAGCTCCGGCCAGTGACCCCCCAGAAAAACAGAGTACAAAGGAAAAAACAGGAGCGGCGGCCACAGTCCCTACCCGACTAGGCGGTGGCGAATGGAAGGCGACCGCGGTAGATCGGGCTACGCCCGCGCGCCTTGCACACCCACGAGCCGGGGTCCTCGGGAGACCGACCCCGAATCGAACCAAACCAAAACGAACCCGGCGAGTGCTCGGGACCGGACCTACCGTGAAAGGGGACTCGTCGGCCGCGGCTGAGGCGCGACGGTCACCGACCGGGGACCGTTCGCCTTCGATCTCGCACTCCGGACTCTCTCTCTTGCTAGCTCTCTCTCTCTCGGCTCTCCCCTCTCTCCGGTCCCCCTCTCTCGGCTCTCCCTCTCTCCGGTCCCTCCGTCGATTTCTCTCTCTCTCTCTCGGCTTTAAGGGCGACCGGGGCGCGGAGCCGGCAGGCGCGCATGGCCCCTGCCACCGCCAGCCCGCACTGCCGGCCTGGCCCCGACCCGCGGATCACGCCGGGTGATCGCCTGGACTCCCCCTCCCGCGCCCCTGCTCTGCCTCTGCTTCTCTGTTCCTCTGCCCTGTTCCTCCCCCGTACCCTCTGAAACGTTGACTGGGGAGGGGGAGAATGAACAGACGCGGGCCGGGCCGAAGGAAAGAGGGCCGGCCCACGTGGGAAAATGAAACAGGAGGAAAAGATAAAAAAAGGGCCGCGTAAAAAAGACGAGGAAGAATGGGCCGATTGTAATTTTTTTTTTTTATATGTCCTAATAGACCATATTAATGCAAATGCGCCTAATGTCTATATGCCATGCAATTTAATGAAAATGTTTTTTGTTTAGTGGTTTAAAAATTAAACCCTAAAATTTTTATAGGATAAAACCCTGAATAATTTAAGCAAAATTTAGGTGTCAACGGTCTTCCAACTGTGACGGACCTTCTTGGGCTTCTTCTCATGGGACAGCAGGCTCTTCCTGAAGACGTCCAGGACGTGGATGCATTTGCCCATCGTCGTGAACCCCGTGTCGGGAGAGCAGAACTTGAGGATGAGCCTGTTGATGAATTTGTCCTCCTGCGTTGTTGGAGCAAAGTCAGTGCATTGAATACCAGATTGCTGTCGTATTGATAGTACCTGCGTAAAAGGAAAAGGAAGAATTTCCGGTAGCGGTGATAGATTTGATAACGAAGTTGTCTGTTGATCTCCAATCGGGAATCCAACATTTTTGGAGCATTAGATTTCATTGATCCCAGGTAGGGTCCATTCGAGATCAATTAGCCGAACATGGTACGCAGTTTGCGTGCTTGCAATAACATCTCTTACGGCGGAACGAAATCTCGCTCTCGACGTCGACCAGCTGATCCAACACTAACATCGGCAGCTGATTCTCCAGCATCAGCTTGTCCCACCTTACGTACTGCATTATGTGGAGCTTCCCGTGTTTGCGGAAGATGTGGTCGTTGGGCACGTAGTCGTCCACCTGCGCAGAGGATCTTGAGCATGAAGCGGCCGTCAGTGATCATCAGCTCCAGGAACCGGCTTGCCATGCCATTGCCGTCGCCCTCCTTCCACTTTGGTTCCAGCGTGTCATAGCTCTCCTTGAGTTCTATCGCCACCTCTCTCAGGGACTCGATGGAGGGCTCGAGGGGCTTCCCAGACCGCCTGAGGAAGTGGATGAGTGTGGGGTGCTTGTGGTCGTCCATGGGGCGGAAGTGGTCCTCGCCGTGGTGATAGGGGCTGAAGGAGACAGCCTGTGGCCGGTCCGCTTTGCAGCTGAGGTCAGTCACGCAGGCGGGGAGCCTCTAGATGGACCGCTTCTTCCAGTACTGTTGCTCGCCGGAGGGCATGAGCTTGACGCTCTCGTCGACCTGGACGATCCAATTCGTCTTGGTCGGGTCCGACGGTGGCGGCAAAGGAGCCATGATTTTCCAAGCTCAGAACCACCTTCCGATTAATTATAACTTCTCATTAATTAATTTCGCATGGCACACAAGATCGGTTGTAATCATCTCGTGTGAAATTGATAAGCTTCCATTAGTTTCGTATGGAGAAAATTTAATCCGAGCAAAAATATATATCAGAACTCAAGTCAAAGTCAAACTATACCTGCATAGTCATGTTTCAATCAAACGAACTTGGATCCATTATAACTACTTCTGAGCTCCAACTAAGTACTTGGACTCATTATAATTGCTTTAATTAGTAAACAGTAAACACAAATTTTGCTTGAAAAATGTCGATTTAATTCGAAAGCGACTAATTCCATAAACCAATCAAATCAATACATCATTTCGTGAATTAATTTTCAATATCAGTGATAGTATCCGTGACACGACTTTTATGTCGTACTATTATTTAAGATGCCTTGATTCTTATGTTCTGCAACTTTTTACATCAGCCAACTCTTTGAATTCCCTCCTTTTTAAGATAAATTACACGACATGCATCTTAAGCCCTAAGTTCTAATTAGCTATTGACGATCCCATTTGGGGGCACTTTTGCCCCGTACGACACATGCAATTTTCAATCCCAAGAAAACCACTGTAGAAAATTCCTTTCTTGCTGAAAGAGTATGTGCCTCGGTTTCTCTTTCGAAAACTAATAAACTGATTAAAGGCTCCAATGGAAGAAAAGAGAAGAAGCTGATTAGAGGCTGTTCACTGCTTTTGCTCTTAGAAGAATCCTTGTGAAGCTGGGATGGTATAAGGTTTAAATTAAATTCATCAGCACGAGGGCGCACATATTGTAAGAAAAGCAAGAAAATAAATAAAACAAACGAGGGAACATGGTGGTTTGGATAAAGAAACCATAGCCAATTATCACGATAACCTTCAATTATCAAGTCAATTTTAATTCCGGCGATGGGGCGGCGGCCATGGCGGAGGGAAGAGAGAGAAGAAAATAAACAAAAGGAAAAAAAATAGAGAAAGGAAAAGAGACAAAAATGCCTATGGGCCAAAATATTGTGGGGTAAATATGTCACAAGTGACATAGTTTGGAGTTATCGTGTCACAAAAAAAAGTTCAGCATAAATTTGTCACAAGTGGCATAGTTTGAGGTTTTTCGTGTCACAAAAAAAATTCAAGGTAAATTTGTCACAAGTGACATAATTTGGAGTTTTTGGTGGTATTTTCCCTAATAATTTTGAAGAAACTAATAGCGCTTTTTGACGCGTGGATAAATTTGAAACTAGAGTAAAAATTGGACTTTTTTTTTTAGACAAAAGAATGTTCCGAGCAGAATTGGAATTGAACATAAAATTAGGAGTTTTTAAGAGTAATAGGCCTTCTTCAATTGTCGGTACTATATCAAGACATTGTACACTAAAAAGAAGCGGCACAGATTTTAAGTGACAGATACTGCCTTTTCACTTTTTACCATGGAAACCAAAATTAGCCTCAAATGATGAGCATAGGCGATCTAAGAAAGAAGAGCGATCGTGTGCTAATCCACAAACGGTTTCCATCTTCTGATACTAAAGATGCGGAGGGGTTCTAGGCTCATGTATCTTCGCCTGTCAAACTCTTGACAAGCAACTTCTTCCCCGCAACATTAGGCTGGATTCATCTAAACATATCCTTGTCAAGAATCGTAACCGTGGACCGAATGCAATCACAGCGGTTGATCATGTGAAATACGTATGTGGACACCGTGTGGGAGCCAATTTTCTTCCTTCATTTCTTCATTTGGATTTTGGTTCATGTCTCGGGCATCTCTTTTCTCGCCCTTTCGATTTCTTTCCCTTTTCTTGGAGGGAAGGGTGACCGGTCGGGGTGGGGATAAGCTTGCGAAAGAGAAAGAACTGTGTTGCGGATGGCCCCATGGTTCCACAGTGCGATGGCGTTGTACGAGCGGGTGAAGACGGAGGAGAGAAGGCTTCTCCGGATCCTAAGACGAGGTTTCTATGTGCTGATGATGCCCATGTTATTGGCAATGACGACATTGAGGCGGATTTCCGACTGGAGATCGGCCTAGCCGCCACAATATAGCGGCTAGAGTCGTCAAATGGATGGGTCGAGTAGAAAATGATCTGATTCAAATTGACCTATTTATATATAATACAAACTTGGTGACACATACCCAATCCGACCCATATTACTAAAACATATTTATATTTAACCAAACTTATGAAAACCTCTACATGCTAATTTATATTCCATTAAAACCCATATTTACGATGCGTATACATTCTTAGCTACGTTTTTTTTCCTTATATTTGCTTTACTCTTTCTAATGTTCTATGCAATATGATATTTGTCTTCTTGAAATTAGGAAAAAAAAAATAAAGCTTACACAGTCAAAGTAAATCTAATTTCTATTGTGGCTAGATTATGATTATTTTTCAAAATATAAATCTCAGGAATACCAGGATTATGGTCATCGCATACACACACAGTGGCAATCTCACCAATGGATTCTTTTTTGGCTATAATTTCATGAAGCAATATATCAAGAGCATAGTTCGCAAGCCCATCTTTAATCTCTCGCCCTCTTAAACCATCAAATCCTCCATTTGAGTACCGGAAGGTCGTGGCCAGTGGGGATTAGAGTGACTGTAAAGGTTAAATTCGCTGCAGCTTCTTAGCAAATTTGATCAAGAAGAAAAGGGTGCAACGGAAGATTTCAGTTGCCTATAACTCGATCATCTGTCTACCCAAATTGGACCAACGTGAATTAGACTGAAACAAGAGAATCATCATTTGATAATGATATATAAAAAAGCCAAATGTCCATCATCCAAAACATTCAAAGAGGGAGAATGAACAAGACTGAAAACAAGAGGAAAATCATTCAGAACAAACAATCGACAACCGATCAAGAGATAATGATCGAGCATCAGCGCATCCGGAGAAAAACCCAAAACTGCAAAAAATATATTGCACAGAGGCAAGGGTAGGTTCAACCCTTGTAGCTGATCACCATATATACCGTCTGAATTATGGTGAGCCCGAAGAGGAAGATGGCGGCGATGAGAGCCGATCTAGCCCAAGGATTCCTGAAGTGGGTGTGGATGAGCTTAGCCCTCCACGCGTTCCAGGGCTTCTTGCAGTACCTGCTGACCTCCTTGTGCACGGCGTCGAGGCTGCTCTCGGGATCAAGCGTCACATCCTTGGACAGCGAGTTGAACAGCTTGGCAACCGCCTTGTCGCTTCCGATGGCATTCTGGATGATGCCTCGGGCGTGGAGCAGTGCTACGTCCCGCTCGCTGTCGATGATGTTGTCCATGAAGAAGATGTAGGAAGTGACCTCGTTGCCGGCCCCAACTTGGAAGCGCTCAAACGCTATGAGGTTGAGGAACATGGACTCGGTGGCGTCGTCCACCACGATCACGGGGAGCCTAAGGACCCCGCTGGAAAAGGAGATGTCCTTGAGGCTCTCGTTCTCGCTCTTCTTGAATCGGATCCCGGCCTCGTCGAGCTCGGTGGCCGACCGGATAATCTCCTCACCGCCATCGTGCCCCATCTTGTCCAGCTCAGGCTGGGCCGTCTTGGGCTCCATCAGCATGCTCTTCCTGAAGACGTCCAGGACGTGCAGGCATTTGCCCATCTTTTCGTAGCGCGTGCAGGGGCGGCAGAACTTGAGGATTAGCTTGTTGACGAATTCGCCGTCCTGTGTTGTTGGAGTAAAGTCAGTACATTGAATCCTAGATTGTGATCGTACCGATACTATTTGCGTAAAAGGGGAAAACATGAAGTTTCCGATGGCCGTGAAAGATTTAAGAAAGATATTGTCGGTTGATCTTGAACCAGCATCCAATGCGTTTGGAGCATTAGATTCGGAGGATCCCTCGAAGGGTTCATGTGAGATCATCAAGATGTACTGTTAGGTGCACATAGCAGAGCGGTTAGTGTACATGAAATAGCCTCTTTTACAACGGACCGAAATCTAAGAAGGTAACCTTCTCGACACCGACCAGCCGATCCAGCACTAGCATCGGAAGCTGATTCTCCAGCATCAGCATATCCCGCTTAATGTACGGCATTATGTTGAGCTTCCCGTGTTTGCTGAAGATGGGGTCGTTGGACGCGTAGTCGTTCGATGTCTCTGTCGCGGACTTCAGGATCTCGAGCATGAAGCAGCCGTCAGTGATCATCAGCTGCAGGAATCGGCCCGCCGCGCCCTCGCCGCCACACTCCTTCCACTCCGGGCCCAGCGCGTCATAGCTCTCCTCGAGTTCCTGCGCCACCGCCGTCAGGGACTCGAGGAAGCACTCGAGGGGCTTCCCGGACCGCTTGAGGAAGTGGAGGAGCGCGCGCTGCTTGTGTTCCTCCATGGGGAAGAGGTGTTTTTGGCCGTAGTGGTAGGGGCCAAAGGAGACAGCCTGCGGCTGGTAGGCCTTGCGGTTGAGGTCGGTGACGCAGGCCGGGAGCCTGTAGACACACCGCGTCTTCCAGTTCTGTTGCTCGTCGATGGGCATTTGCTTGAGTTTCTCGTTGATGTAGACGGTCCAGTCGGTCGGGTTCCGGTCCAGCAGTGACGGCAGATCAGGAGCCATGGTTCCGCAAGTTCCACAGGTTCCAAAAGTGTATGCTCTGGAGTGTCTTGTGCTCTCTCTCTCTCTCTCTCTCTTTTTATTTTATGCTGTAAGGAGTGGGAGAAGAGGTGAATTTATGAAGATATGGAGACAGAGAGATGGGAAGAGTGTCGGGGGGATAAAGTTTGAGATTGTCCGAGCCCCAATGCTTCAAGCTGAAGAGGTATTACTGGACAAGCCATGAGGGTGGGACTCACGCGTGCGCACAGTGGTAAAGAGAAAATGTGCCTAGCGTTCCATGGAAGCCGTGGGAATCGTTGCATTTAGGTACCATCTTTGTATATTCGATGTGGCACTAAATTTAAAATAGTATCTCTTTTTGCTTCATTTGGTAACAATTTTTTTATATAGTAGGTTTGGGGTACTCCGGATTTCTTACTTGAGTTCTCATTTTTCGGTGGTTGACGCCCTTCTTCAATGCACACGTCGCATCTATTGCATTCCGATATTACGTGTGCATGGTCAGCTCATGACAATCATATAACTTATCGTTAAATTGACTTCAGATGGCACGCAAGACAAGTTGTAATCATCTTGTACGAAATTCAAACTCTACCATTGGTTTCGTGGGGAGAAAAATTAATTCTAAGGACAAAGATATGTTACAACTCAAATAGAAGTCGAACTATATTAGCAAAGTCAAGTTTCTAAGTTAAACTAAATATAAGTGAGGGTTTTTTTCTTCTTTTGGTTTCAAATCAATAGTGTAATTAGCCACGAGCAATAATGAGCTCCAATGGAGAAGAACTTGGATTCATTATAACTGGACAATCAGTCATAAACCCTATTATACGGATATGAATTCAGTCCCGAACTTTCCAATTTCACTAATTGAATCCTAAACATTTGTGCAACATTCAATGTAATCTTTCCGGTCAATTTTCGTCGAAAATCGCTGACGTAGCGGTCCAGTCATCGCTGGCCATCTCACATGGCACACCGTAAAGGTTTAGGATTCAACTAACAAAATCATCAAAGGGACTGAATTGGCATCCGTAGGATAGGTTTGGGATGCATTAGACGATTTCCCCCATTATAATTGTTTATGTGCTCCAATCGAGAAGTACTCGGAGCCATATCAGTTTTTGCATCCAAACATGACTTTTTACTCCATACTCACTTCTTATATCGTGCAATTCTTTTAATTCACTCTTTCGGGATAAATTACAGCACATACATCTCAGGCCTTTAGCTCTAATTAAGAATATTGATGACCCATTTTGGGTCCCATCTGTCCGTACAACATTTTCAATTTTTAGTCCCGAATGAACCAACTGTAGAACATTCCTTTCTTGCTCCCAGAGAAAAGTGCCCTCGGTTTCTCTTGCAGAAACTGATTAAAGGCTGTTCCCTGCTTTTGCTCTTAGAAGAAAGAATCCTTGTGAACACGGTGGTTTGGATAGAAGAAACCCTCGCCCATTATCATGTATTGTAGATGACTCTATCCGCCAAGTCATTCTTCAAAGAAGAGGCGGACTTTAATAATGGATACACATAGGGCATGTACCATTATACTTTCTAACTTAAAAGCCAAACTAAACCTCAAAATGATTAGTATTGGCTCGCTAAGAAAGAGGAGCGATTATGTACTAATCCACAAAAGTTTTTCATCTTCTGATACCAAGGATACTGAGGAGTTCTAGGCCTCCCGAGCTTAACCTGTCAAACTCTTGACACGGAACTTTCCAACCACGTTAGACCAGGTTAACAATTAATTTACCCACCACTCCCGGCAAAAAATATCCTTGCCTAGAACCGTATCTATTGTCACGCCCCAAACCTCACGAAGCTAAACATCCCACGCAAAGGTCGAATTTGGTGCGACGTCCCAGGATGCGTCGCCGACCCAACGTCCAAGACAAAGATCATTGCACATGCGAAAGCAACGTATATAAATATATATACACCCGTACAATAACAACATAACCAAGGATAGCACATAACGGGAATCCACCAGATAAAAACATATACATTTCATTACTACAAAAATATTTACAACATCCATTTACAAGGAGAACATACAACAGACTCGAAAACTGGTCAACGGCCACTACGGTCAAAAAGGGACAGTGGCCAGGGATTAGACAACTAACTAAGATTGGGCTCTGATAAAAAAGGTACGGCCCGATCTATCTAGGCTGGGACTAACTCAGGGGACCCAGTCCGGGTCAGAACCAGAAGACTCAGAGGATGAAGAACTATCAAGCAGTTCCTCCTCAGAATCTAATGAGTCCAACTCGAACTCAGCCTCCGCGGCCTCCTCATCCACGTCCATTGGCGCTACCGCGTCCTCTAGCTCCATGTCCTGCTCCATGGGTTCCGGTTCTTCCTCAGCTTCCATCGACTCCAGATCGTCTTCCTCCCAGACAACAGGTTCACCTCCAACACTCGTACTCCCATCAGATGAGGCTTCAGGGCTAACTACATCTCCATCAGGACATTGCGGGTCTAACTCACCCTGCCCGTCAACCGGGACATCAAAACTCCTAAGAGGTCCAAATTCTCCATGTTGATCCCTAAAACACCAGGCTACATATTCGTGGTGTTCACTGTACGCCTCTCCCACATCAACCAGTATCATAGTACTATATCTTACATACGCATTCCCATTCCATAAAGGGTGCACAACCGACGTCCGCCCTAACTGGCGCGGAATCCCAAAACGCACTGGTGCATCTGGCATCATCAAGTCCGGGGGTCTGAAAAGTTTGGGTTTATACAACAGCGAGACAAGTCTCAGCGAGTAAAAACCCCTAAACCCTAACTAGGCTAATATGCACCTCCTGACAGGCAACAAACAAACAATATATGATCATTTCAACCAATTGACCTAGGCCCTCAGCCCAGATCGAGCATACAATCGACCCTGCAGGTTAGGCATTTTATATAAATCACGGCACATACGCGACGCACTGGTCACACGTACGCCATACGCATGCTCATGCCTCAAGTGTCTGTCTCACACATGAATCACCGGCACGTATATTAGCCACATACTCTGGCACACATTTGCCATGCTTATGAATTTCCTCAAATCACGCACTCTGGCACACGGCTCATTTTAGCAATTTATAAACCGACCCGAAGGCCACGACCCGAAGGCCACAATTGATAAACCGACCCGAAGGCCACGGCCCGAAGGCTCACAACACTCCGCGGCCCGCGCCAAAGCGCATCTGGCCCAGTGTCTCTAGCCCGCGTAAAACGCCTCAGGCGCAACACCGATCTCCTTAATCTTCCGGACAAATCGGGCATCGTCCCGCGTAAACGCTTCAGGACGGCATCGACCCGAAGGCCACAACCCGAAGGCCAACAGTTATAAAATGACCCGAAGGCCCTTAGTGATCACACGTGCATGCCATGCTTGCACCCTCGCACAATGTTCGTCTCATGCCCATTCTCTGCACACGAAATGCGTAGCCATGCATATTCCCGCACTCGGGTGATCACACGATGCGTAATGAGCACCAATTTCAATCACGGGCATGTACTTCAATAATACCAACATGTTCAATTGTGCCATAACATAATCAATCAGCATTTCATCGGCATGCCTCACTTCAAGTAAACATAAATCAGCACAGCACATAATTCACAACATTAGTGCACACAAGCTTGCACAATCAAGGTCCCAATTAGCCATTGAATCATTCAATTCAGACAATCATTGCGATGATCCAATTTAAATCTCAACTTAGTCAAATTTGGTCAAATTCGGTTCTAGGGAGGGCAGCCACCAAACAGTCCACATTAGGGCCTTATTTCACTTCCTACTCAGTCTATTTACTCCCAAATATACCACATAATCAGCCACTAATCATTGGACCTTAATTAAGCCTAATTCTAACCTAATCAACCCCAAAAACCACATAATCCTATCTAGAGAAGCAAAATCAGTCCTAATTAAGGTTTAGGAATTAATACTCACTTAATCCTACGCTCCGAACTCAGCTAAACCGACAGGGAGCGAGCGGCGAAATCAGCGGCGGCGTCCCGGTGCTTCCGCGGCGGCGGCGGCGGTCGGCGCACGGACGATCAGCTCCCTTGGCCGATCCGCACGACGGCGAGAGGAGGGGATGCTGGTCGGAGAGAGAAGAGAGAGGTCAGGTCGGGTGGTGACGGTGGTGGAACGGCGAGGCGGACGGCGGCTTGGCGTCCCGGCGGTCCGGCGAGTCCTTCACGCCGGCGGTCTCGGCTTGGCTGGTTCGGCGTGTCCTTAGCCGAGAGAGAGAGAGAGAGAGAGAGAGAGAGAGAGAGAGAGAGAGAGAGAGAGAGAGAGAGAGAGAGAGTGATGGGACGGTGACGGTGAGACAGTCGGAGGTAGCTCGGGCGGTGGCACGGCGGCGAATGGCGGCCGGCGGTGCTCCTCCGGCGGCGTGCTCACGGCGAGAGAGAGAAAGAGGGAGAGGTGGCCGGCGTGAGGAGGGAGAGGAGAGAGAAGAACTTGGCTTGTTGATCAAGAAATAATGAAGAGAGAGAGACAAAGGCAATAAATATGTTTGACCAATTTTTCCAAATTCCCAAAACGCCCTTGAACACTTGGCCCACATTAATCTCTATCCAATAATTGAGGGGCACTTTGGTCATTTCCATGGCTGAATTATTGGGCTGATATAACCTTAAATTAATCCCCAAAATTATTTCAAATCTCCCAAAATTCGGAATACCCCAAATTAAGCTTAGGGGCAAAATGGTTTTTTTCCAATTTCGGGCCGAAATTTTATTTTTCGTCCGTACTAACCCCAAATTTATGTGGCCACACTAAATTGACGTCGTCCTCGCAAAATAGTCGCTCATGACCCCGAAATCCGACATCCAAGTCCGGATCTAATTCCGTGACCAAAATCGCTCAATTTAGAATTTTAGGGTCTCTCACCAACGGGCGGCTGTTTAGGGGTTACGCGTATCGACCTAGGGTTATTCGAGTCGTGACGGTCTCGATTACTGGGAGGACGTGATGAATTATCACTAGTTCTAGGGGTCTCGATCGTTCGGTTTAAGTTCGGAATTTGTTCGCCACGCGTACTCTCGATCGTGCGGAATCACTCGC